CTGAGGATAAAATTGCTGATGATAGAAATGTATTTAAAAAGAATCATAAACCACACTGTAAAAATTCTCTGATCAATTAGTCCTGACAGCATATATTTTTAGGTCATTGTAACTTATTAAACTAAGGTAATCATGTTCTAACTTAATTTAATAAGTTACGCAAGCTGTCTACTGCAGTTTAACATAATACAAGTTCAATGGACTCATAAGGTTAAGCTTAAAATGTAAGGAAACCAAACTGTAAAAATACATCCTGGTTGCCTTAAAATTTTAAGCTGAATCAAATTAACTTTATAGGAGTCCATTGAACTTTTATTATGTTAAACTGACTTAAAACAGCTTTTGTAACTTGTTAAACTAAGTTAATCAGGCACTTACTTAATTTTATAAATTACAATGTCTTAAAACATGCTATCATGACTAACAGATTTTATTTTACAGTGTTTGTTTAACAATCTTCTGGTCATCTAAATTTAGAACTAGAGTGGAAGAAAGTGATTACTAACAAAAACATTTTTTATAAGTAATAAAGTAAGACGGGTATACTGTATTTGTTTGTATTAAGTTTGTACTCATTTACATTAATAAAAATAAGAGAATGTAGCTAATTAATTTTGTGTAAATAAACCAAATAAAAGGTAACAGTCGACTTCATTGTACGTCACAGGCTTTGGTAACTCTGGCAACCAGGACGCTTCGACTTTCCACAACATGGCATCCATTGTACATTTGGAAATCGTCGGTCTGTTAAATAAACCTAATTTTCAAATAGCTAAAAGCATTGCGGAGGTAATGTAAAGTTTCTTTTTCTGATCTAATAAAAACCCCTAACCTTACTGCTGATTGAAGCACAATTGTTCACAAAAGCTAATGTTTGCTTCTGTAACTTAGGGATTAAAAAATAAATTCCCAGATTCATTTGATGATCCAACAATCCTACCGCTGTTGGAATGTGGCTGGCAGGACTATTTGTCTAATAAAAAGACGGTGAGCCACTGAACTATACACCGCTATCTTGATGTCAATTAGATCTGACTTTTACGTCCACTTTTTAAGGAGCTGAGAGGAGAGGTCTGGCAGTTCCGCGGCTGTATAATGTCCTTCGCAAACGGCCAGTTGCTCGGGGATGAAAGGAAACTGTCCGGCTGGGCAGAGAAAGAGTGGAAGTTTACTTTCCATCGACCACAGGCTCTTTATATGGCACTAGCTGAGGAGTTTTACATCAGTAACCTGCGGAGCACTGGGGTAAATGATAATATGATATTGAATGATATGATATTGTAATGATACTTCAATTTATAAAAATAAATTAATAACGTTAAATATAGAGTTTATCCAAAATGAAAAAATGCCTGTACTATCTACTTCCACTCATGTTGTTCCAACCCTTTATGAATTTCTATTCGTTTTTTGAACACAAAAAAAAGGTATTTTGAAGAAAGCTGTAACCATTGCCTTCCATAGTAGGCCTAGTTGTTTCTCCTACTATGGAAGGCAATGGTTAGCAGTTCCCAGCTTTCTTCAGAATATCTTCTTTTGTGTTTTACAGAAGAAAGAAACTCAAAGATTTTTAATAAGTAAGGGTTGAGTAAATAATGGCAGAAAGTTTATTTTTGAGTGAACAATGCCTTTAATATTTAGGCAACTAAAAACATTTATTAGTGGGCAACATCTCTCTCTCTCTCTTTACTACAGCATATTTTTGTTTATATGGACATTGAGAATGGTGGAGAGGCAGTTGGCAGACTGTTGTTTGAGGTAAGAAGAATATATTAATGAGAGAAATTGTTGTAGAGATAAATGTTGGGGTTTTACACTCTCAAAGTGTTTAAAATGTAACCTGCCAGCTGTTCTCAGACGTCTGTCCAAAGACGTGTAGGAACTTTAAGGCACTGTGCACTGGAGAGGCTGGTTTGTCTAAAAGTAACCTTGAGTTGAGCTATAAAGGCTCGATTTTCCACAGAGTGGTGCCAAATGGCTGGATACAAGGTGGAGGTATGAATTAATAATATACTTTTACAGTATTTAAAAACAACACATATATTTTTTTAATCAGGGGTGGCCAACCCTGTTCCTGGAGAGCCACCTTCCAGCAGATTTCAGTTGCTACCCATATCAAACACTACTGAACCAATTAATTAGGACCTGAACGCCATGTGATAAGTACAGGCAGGTGTGTTTGATATGGGTTGCAACTGAAATCTGCAGGAAGGTGGCTCTCCATGAACAGTGTTGGCTTAAGTTATAAAATTATGTACAAACTTAAGTACAGATATTTTCTTCTACAGATATTTCACCTGAAAAGAAAGGCACTGGGGGAGAGTCTATCTATGGACCAACATTTGAGGGTATGTCCTTATTAACAAATTTCAAAGTTCTAAAATTTATTATTCTTATTGTACACCAAACGAGCCATAACATTATGACCACTAACAAATCAAAAATTATAATTGTTGCTAATAATTGTTAATTGTTAAAGTCTGGGTAAATTATATATTTACTCAGTTCCTGAAATCAGTGTGTTAGATACTAGACAATATACTAGAAAATTGACAGAAATAAAGATCCTAGCAACTTTGAACCACATTGTTATTTCAATGCGAATGGTACCAAGTCTCTGAAATGTTGATTTGAAAGGTTTGTAGATTAATCTGAGTCAGTATTGGTAAAAAAAAAAAAGAAAAAAAAAGGTGGCCCGAGAAGGCAAATTCCACCAACCATTGAAAGACTCATACATACATAAGGGTATGCCCAAGGCTTATAAATGCATAAAAGTTATTGCATTTGGACCGAACCAATCGAGCAATGGATGAATTCTGCCTCGTTCAATGGACCCTTTTCACATTTCTGGGTTTCTCAGCAACAGAAGTCATCATAGTTAGGTAAAATTTAGAGCGCAGTAAAAGAGAGAGTAGAGTACAATAAACATTTTTTTACAATCCTATTTGCTGAAATAATAAAAGAAAAACTCAACAATGTTGTTATCAAGACGTTCAGAAAAATGAAAAACATTGTGTGAGAATGTCAAATTTACTTTCCCGCCCCATAGACACTGCTTTAGAAACAACTCGCATAAGCAAAAATTTTTTTAATTTAGTGCAAAGATGATATAATACATTCATAAATACATAGTACACTTTATTAGGTACACCTTACTGGATTTTGGTCCATATTGACATGATAGCATCACGCAGTTGCTGCAGATTTGTCGGCTGCACATCCATAATGCAAATCTCGCGTTCCACCACATCCCAAAAGTGCTCTATTAGACTGGGATCTGGTGACTGTGGAGGCCATTTGAGTACAGTGAACTCATTGTCATGTTCAAGAAACCAGTCTGAGATGATTCGCGCTTTATGACATGCCGTGTTGTCCTGCTATAAGTAGCCATCAGAGGATGGGTACAGTGTGGTCATAAAGGAAGGTACTGTACATGGTCAGCAACAATACTCAGGTAGGCTGTGGCGTTGACATGATGCTCAATTGGTACTAATGGGCCCACACCATTACATCACCAGCCTGAACCGTTGATACGAGGCAGGATGGATCCATGCTTTCATGAGTTTGACGCTAAATTCTGACCTCACCATCCGAATGTTGCAGCAGAAATCGAGACTCATCAGACCAGGCAGCGTTTTTCAAATCTTCTATTGTCCAATTTTAGTGTGCCTGTGTGAATTGTAGCCTTAGTTTCCTGTTCTTAGCTGACAGGAATTGCACCCGGTGTGATCTCCTGCTGCTGTAGCCCATCTGCCTCAAGGTTCAACATGTTGTGCGTTCAGAGATGCTCTTCTGCATACCTCGGTTGTAACAAGTGGTTATTTGCGCTACTGTTATCTTTCTATCAGTTCGAACCAGTCTGGCCATTCTCCTCCACCCACAGAACTGCCGCTTACAGGATATTTTCTCTTTTTTGGACCATTCTCTGTAAACCCTAGAGATGTTTCTGCATGAAAATACCAGTAGATCAGCAGTTTCTGAAATATTCAGATCAGCCCGTCTGGCACCAACAACCATGCCACTTTCAAAGTCACTTAAATCCCCTTTCTTCCCCATTCTGATACTCAGTTTGAACTGTAGCAGATCGTCTTGACCATGTCTACATGCCTAAATGCATTTTGTTGCTGCCATGTGATTGGGTGATCAAAATTTTACATAACAAGCAGTTGGACAGGTGTACCTAATTAAGTGGCCGGTGAGTGTAAATATACATACTTTTAAAAAAAATCTAAATATTAAAAACTTTCAATGCTTAAACTTTCATATTAGGCAGGTGATCATATGTTTTGGCTCATCGGTTCAGTGTTTATGCAAACACAAAGTACTAGGTTTTTATGGTTTTCTCTTTTAGATGAGAATTTTGTCATATCCCACAATAAGCGTGGCATCCTGGGAATGGCTAACCAAGGTGCTCATAGCAATGGCTCCCAGTTCTACATCACACTACAGCCAGCCACCTGGATGGATCACAAATATGTGGCTTTCGGGTAATGACTACAAGAGATAGCATAAGTACATAAGAAAGCCAACATTTGGTATTTAACTTTGCATCAATAATGCAGACAATATCTGAAAGATGAATGCTTTGCTATTTACCACAGTTACAAATTTCATCGGTTCTGACATCTTTCTCTCTCTCCCAGGCAACTTGTTGAAGGCACTGAGGTTCTTAAGAGACTAGAAGCAGTGCCTACTTATAATGAGAGACCCAAACAGGACTGCAAAATAGTAGCATGCGGCATATTTGAGTTCTAAGTAATCACATACAGATTAAGAAGCAACATGAGAATTTTAAACTAACCATCTCAGATACAAATGGCTTGTCTATGTAAAGTGTACCATGTTTTTAATCCAACGGTCCACATTTAAAAAATAAAAATAAAGTGATTTAAAATGAAAAGAAATGTTACTACTATTGCTCATATTTTTTCAAATATAGGCTAGTATTTAAGTAAATATTTATTTATATGGGAATTGTTTTTTCTAAAATACAGAAGATAGAGGTTTAGATATCACCACTGTATAAAACAGAAAGAGGTCAACAGATTTCAGTAACCTCTAATTTTGATTAAAAGAAAAAATAATTCCACAAAATGAAGCGAAACAATCTTAATCCTACCTGTGAGAATTTGGAGAACGTTTAAGTTCATCTGTAAAATAAAGAGATGACATTTCAGTAAGCCTACACAGTATCATAGTTAAGAAAACTAAATTGTCAGAAAAGCTTACTAAAGTATGAACTTCAGACACAACCAAATAGAATTTGACAACATTAAAATCTTCCTCGTGCTGTCTTCTGTCGATTAATCTGTCTGACTCTTTTCACACACACTCAAATTAACTAAAGGCGCCATCTTGAGATAAAACATTTACTGCGGTTTGCTTTCATTCGAAATTATATAAATTCATGCTTTCAATATTGTTGCAGTGTTGTTAGGAAAACGTTTTATTTGTGTGTTACTTAATAAATTTAAACATTTTTGCGTTTGAGTAAAATTATTAATTAAAATTTAAACTCAAAATAGTTTCTCAGCACCCAAATCCATTTAACACAACAAAAACTGAATTAAAAGCATCTAAAACAAATAAATCTATTTAAAAGTATTTACATTGTTTTATTTTAATGGTTTTCAGATCAACTTTTATTTTAGATCAAACCCTTAAATTAACACAGGCTAAAAATTGTTAGCATTTGCAACGGCCCTCGATCGGTCAAACCTGCCTGAGCAGAAGCGTCTTCTCTAGCATGTGTTTAACGAGCACCAGCAGACCTGACCAACACTCTCAGCATGACCGCCACACCGTTCTCTCCACCGCTGTACATGCAGCGATACCAGTTTGTTATCGATTATGTGAAAACCTACCGACCTAGAAAGGTAAACAAATATCAAAAACTGTATTTTAAACGACTTTGCTTGAACTAGCACTATCAATGGTCTTTTATACACCTTCTTCCTACCTTGTCTTGGCCGTTTCTTCCGTCTTCAGGTCATCGATTTCGGATGCGCCGAATGTTGCTTACTGAAAAAGCTCAAGTTTCATCGCAACGGCATACAGTTGTTAGTGGGAGTTGATATAAACAGTGTCGTCCTCCTGAAAAGAATGTAAGTTGGCGAAACATTTATTGTGTAATAATATAAGACATTAAAATGACAAAGCAATCTTATTAGGCCAATGTTTTACACTACATAAATGTATTTAGATTGCTTCTAAGATACATACTTTAGTCAATTTCAGAACTGCAAATCAGGCTTCTATACATTTTCTCTCACTCTCATGCATGATTGAGGTAAAATCGGTTTAATAGTCACATTCGTTATAGTGATAGTGATAACTTGTGACATGCTTTCTATATTGTTTACCATGGTACTTTTGAAAAAAAAAAAAGTCTGAATGTGTGAATATAAAACTAACTTTACCTCAATTCATGTATAAATGCCTGTAATTATTTAGAGTTTTAAGGTGTCTTGGAAAGAGAAAATTGTTAAATGCTATTCTTGGTCAGAAAAAAAATGTCTATTTATCAAAATAGAAAACAAAATAGAATTTGGTTTGGAGTGAAATACGGTATAAACAAGAATAAGAAATCAGTTTTCTTTCTATTTTTGTATGAAAAACCTATTGGACATCAAAACTGGTCTTATGTTAAGTTAAAAATGACCTTTTAAAGTTTGTCAATAATATAAGATGAATTAATTTAGAGAATTAATTTTAAACTCTATATTTTATCCAGGCATTCATTAGCACCACTGGTGAGTGATTACCTTCAGCCAAGCGATGGCCCTTTAACCATCGAGTTGTACCAAGGGTCTGTAATGGAGAGAGAGCCGTGCACCAAAGGATTTGATCTTGTGACATGTGTTGAGCTGTAAGTGTTTTCCATCTTTAAATTCAAGTAAATTTACCTCACAATAGTATGTCTGTAGTTAATCAGCTTAAAATGTCTTACCCCGTCAAGGATCGAACATCTGGAGCTGGAGGAGGTGGAGAGGTTTTCAGAGGTGGTGTTCGGCTACATGGCGCCCGGTGCTGTGATTGTCACCACACCAAATGCAGAGTTCAACCCGCTGCTGCCGGGCCTGAGAGGCTTCAGAAACTATGATCATAAGTTTGAATGGACCAGAGCAGAGTTTCAGACCTGGTGAGCAAGTTTGCACAATTTAGTGTCCTATTTTTCTAGTACTGATTTAGGGAATGCAATTTACCTACTGTACATAGAATCATCCATGTTTGTAAAAAATTAAACACTTTTTCTGGCCAACAGAAATATCAAAACTCTCTCTCTCTCCCTCTCAGGGCTCATAGAGTTTGTAGAGAACATGGCTACTCCGTTCAATTCACTGGAGTCGGAGAAGCAGCTGGCCACTGGAGAGATGTGGGATTTTGCACCCAGATTGCAGTGTTCCAGAGAAATTTTGATGGAGTAAATCGGTCCATGAGTAATGCCGAACACTTGGAACCTTCAGTGTACAGACTGGTGAGGAAAAAAAAAAACTTTCATATGAGATGTACTTTCATTGCCTCTTTCTTTATCAGATATATTGCACTTTCTATTTATTATTTATCACTCAGTTTAGTTTATTTTTAAACATACAAAGCAAAAACTTACAGTAAAAACACACTGATTAGTAAACTAGTTAAACAGAAAAATCTTCTGCTCTGTATGTTTTACAAAAATCTTTGCCTTTATTGAGAAAGGACAGGAATAGACAAACAGGAAGCAATTTCGTGATAGAGGGAGGATGCGATTTCTGCTCAGGTCACCCAAAGCATACCATGCTATTGGCTACATCATCTTGACATCGTCATTTTTAACCAGGGTATCTGCAGGGTCTTAAAATGTTTTAAATTTCAAATGCCAAATGTTAGGTCTTAAAAAGTTAAATCCACTGAAATATTGTGTTGTAGGTGTTAAATCATTTTAAACAGGTCTTAATTTATAAATCTAAAGCTTAATAAAATAAATCTCAGCTTAATTTTTCTACATCCATGTAAAGCTACCCAATTTGACGAACACCTATCCAATCACTAACATTTCATCTCAATAAAAGTTAACAAGTTTATTTATGAACTCTATTTACCAATATGGTTTAATTATTTTCCTTATCATAACATTTGTTTTTAATGGTTATTTAAATGTTTTTGGGCCATTAGAAAAAATCCTTAGTGTTTAGCCTTGTGCAAGTCAGGAATTTCATACTGGTCTTAAAAAGGTCCTACAAAATCTTAAATGTGACTTCATGATACATGTAGAAACCCTGTTAACCTGAAATGCCATTAACTTTAATCTTCTATTGCTTCCAACTTCCAATGTCCGAAGTAAAAATTATTTTAGTATGTTGTTGGATTGCAAATATCGCCTTAAAATCCATGTGAACCGAAGGTTGCAGAGACTTTTATCTTAGTATGTAATGCACTTACAACTGAAATGGAATATTGAGTAGGGAGCAGGGCCTTCTTTCTTTATGTGCGTCATTCCTACTTGGCAACTAACAGTAAGAGGGGCGTGGCTAGGAACATTGTGGCCGACATTAACAGAGAATGACCACCACTCTAAATACAGGGGTCTATTCTTCGTACCTCGCTTAAATGGTCTAAGATGATTTGACAAATCTCTAATCTCTGATTAACTGATCTCTGGCTAATTTGGTTCCTCAAACAAGTTCACGAATCAGATTAAAATGTCAGGATGAACTGATCTGAGATCACTGCTGGTGTTGTAGAGGACAGATCGATCCATTGGATTAGATAAATCTGTTCTGGATAGGAACTTTTCAGGATCATTAAATCTGGATAACCAGTGCTCAAACAGGATAGGAAATCACATTGTAGAACTATAGATATGTAAAAAGCAAAGAGTAGAATAGCCAGTGTGTGAAAAAATATAACTTTATTTTTATTTGTAATGAAAACATACACTTTTGAAAAAAAAAAAAAACTAAAAACAAGAAAACCCCCACCCCATCCTCTTCCAGCATGAGCGTCCGCTCATGTGAGACCTACAACACAAACACTATACATTGAGGATAATTATGACAAGTTTGAAATATAAATGTATTGAATTTACAAAAAAAGACCTAATGTCAAAACCTCCACAATAATTTCAGACTTCCTCATCTGATGTGGAGAGAGCAGCTTGACTGAGCGTAGCCTTTATGAGGCGGATCTCAAGTCTGGCCTTGGTTTGCTGCAGTTTGGTCAGAGTCAGTTGTTCCTCTGTCAGATGAAGCTGTGCTTCTGCACTTTCAGTCTCTTTTTGCAATTGTTGAAAGTGATTTTAAAAAATCAGTGATTTGCCATTCTTTGCATTTTTTTTTTTGGTTATTCTGTAATTGTTGCATGCATCACTAATACATATTCTAAAAGAAAAATATTTTCCATTGTGATGAATAAATGTATCACTTAGTGACCAAATAAAATGTAATGTTTTGGTCAATTTTGACAGCTGTTTGAGGAATTATTTTATGTGGTCAAAATCTTTGTTGTAGGCCTATACCGAAAGGCTGAATATGTTAAAGCCTTCCTAATCACTATAGCCTGACGCATGAACAAATAAAATTAAAACCTTATGAATAAATAGGATATATTGTAAGATACTGCATGATCCAAATAGAGTATTATTTGATTAATTTTTCAGTTTTCATTACATTTGGGCATAAAATCCACGCTGAATCCACCCTTCTGATGGGATCAGTTTAATCCAAGTTCTTTGGATCTAAGTGATCCAAATCCTACAAAAAAGGTGTGAAAAACCCAAACTAAAGGTTTGATCCAGATCAAAACCAAGGTTGAATTACGTGATCTAATTTTGTAAATTATGTAATCTGTTTTTTCTTTTGAAAAACCCATTTTCACGATTTGATGCGATCCCTTATCCAAAATTCCAGTAGATTACTTTTGAAAAACCAGGCCCAGGAGCCAGACTTTGATTGAAGATTACCAAAACAAGAACAAAATTCAGTGGGTTAAAGTGCATGGATCACAAAGAATAATCATTTACACTTGCAAATAAACAGAGTAAATTGACCTCTGATAAAAATACAAAAAATGTTTAAAATTTGAAAAATAGGGTGTTTTAATTTCATGCGCACTAAAGAAGAAATTTAGTTATTTCCCATTTGAAAGCTGCGTGTATTTGCACTCGCATCTCTCTTTTCTTTGCCAATCCTCATTTAGCTATACAGGGTGGTGTATCCGAGCCTGTGCGATAACAACATCTACCAGAAGACTTTGATTAATGAGGTCCTGTATGAGGCTCAACATCTGAGGCAGCAATGGCTCATAAGAGAGAACATGAACAACAATGCACATTTCTACTCTCCTCCATTAATGGAAGCATTGCATCATGGGGCCGAAGGGAATGCATGTGAGCAGCAGCCTGTCTACCAGCAGGGTGGCATCATCTGCGTCCCGTTAGCCCGTGTGTGGTCCTGTCCCAGGGTCCAAGCTCTGTGCGGGAGCCTGCAGCGTCTCAGAGAGAAACTGCTGGAGGATGAGCGGGTGAGGATGAGCGCTGATGGAAGTGCGCTTAATCTGCCAGCTGATGATGACGATGATAATGTGGAAGAGGAGGAGGAAGAAGAAGAGGAGGAGAACCAGCAGAATGTCAAAGCAGTATCGGGTGCAGTAAACAACATGGAGGAGGACTGGGATAGAGAGCTTGGTAGCTATGGAGACGAATAACAAATCGGGAAAGCTCTGTAAGCAAAATAAAAGAAATGTGTGATTGACTGAGATGTTGTTGAAAAGATAAAAATCATTAAACATATCATTAAAAAGGCAATCGTGTGACGCTTTCTTTGAAATGTGGTTTTATTGAACAGTGCGTGGTACATACCTTACCAGCATCATAACAGAACACATGGCATGGAAGCCACTATTGGTCAAAAGTCAGAACACAACATTGCAGGACAAAGCAATGTCACCTTTACATTGTCAACATTACACACAGTACAATTACAAAGACCAGAAACTTCACAGAAGAGATAAAGCCACCATGTTTTTACAACATGTAAAGTACCAGGACTTGCTTACAGGTTATGTAAGAGTAGCTGGGGAAGAAATGTGAGGGGGGACGACAGTATTAATCTTAATAAACATACATAAAAATAGACTTTCATTTTGGCAGTAGATCAATAAAAAAAATCAAGTTTAAAGTAAAACGCGCGTATTACTGAGTGGATTCTGAAATGTAATGAAGTCGAAATATCACAGATAACATCTGTGTATACTGATATTTAGAAGCACTTGCTACCGAGGCCTTAAAGGGTCATGATGATGGAAAATTATATGATAAATTGTAAAATATTAAAATCGTCAAAGATACTTTGTTTTTGCAATCTGCTGAGAATTTCTTCCAATGAACAGAGTTGTTCGAATGATTTCTGAGCAAACAAAGACTTTGCCACTGAACAAAGTTTTGTAAGAGAATGCAAAGGCACTGAAATAAAAAGTTTATTCCAAGTGAACGCAACATTTCCTGGACAAAGTTCTACGCCAGAGATGCCCAAACTAGTGCCCGGCGGCCAAAGTTGGCCCATGGTAAACTTTAATTTTGCCCAACAACCCATCTGAGACGAGAGGGAGAACGATGGGGATGGTTTTGGGATTGACAAATCAAATTTAATGCAATTATTATTATACATTTTTTAACTGAAATTAAATGTTTCAATTAAATCAGAGATGCCCAAAGTAGGGCCCGCGGACCAAAGTTGGCCCATAGTAACCTTTCAATTGGCCCCCCATCCAATCTGAGAAGAGAGGAAGAAAAATGGCGAAGGTTGGGGCGAATGCCTTCAACAGAGATCGTCATTTTTTATTTCACTAAACCTTACATTCGTTTAATTGATGAACTACAAAAAAGTTAAGTGAAATTAAAAGTTTCAGTTAAATGTTGTGAATTAATTGGATTTTTTAAAGGGTCATGACACCCTTAAACACATTTTTTAGATGTTGACATACTCTATATTGTGTCACATGGAAAACAACTGAAAAATGGTTGTTTTTGTAAATAAAAAAGCATAGACTCCATTGTGTTATAAATGAGGTAATTATTGTTTTATTGTATTACTAGTATAGTATAAAATATGTTGGCATTAATAATAAAATAAAAGTCTTTTTCTATTGATTTAATTATTATTAAAGTAGGAGGCTTTAATGTAATTCAGTTTGGCATATTTAGCTTTGGCCGACCACCCTCAATCAAATTTGTTCCTTGGCCCTTCATAAGAAAAGGTTTGGGCACCCCTGAATTAAATGGCAGAGACTTTGATGAGCAAATCATGAGAAAGGCAGATTCTGCTTGACCAGTGAATTCAGCATTGAACGCTACTGTGTTATAAATGTCATTGTTTATGTTTGATTGTAATAATTTAAAAAGTTATACTGTATTAACTAATAGCATTTAAAGTAAGGTTTTCTATTTATTTTGAAACATTATTAAATAACTTAGCCATGACAACTTTAATATAATATAGTTTGGTATATTGACTATGGCTCTCAATGTTATTGGTTTTCTTGTTATGAAAAAGTTTGGGCACCCCTGTTCTATGCAGATATGTAAATGGAAATGTTTTTCTTGGAAACTTTACTTTTATTTTTAAACATTTAATAAAATACTCTAATTCAAATACTATAAAATATATTCTAATTTCCTATGAGAGAATGCAAAGTATCTTGGACAAACAAATGTCAAGTCTCCGGGGAACAAAAAAAAAAAAAAAACATGCAAAAAAAGATTTTTTTTTTTTTTAAAAAATCATAAATATTTTGAAAACAAAGTAAAGCTCCTTTGGTGGAACAAAACATTTGCAATAGATTACAAAAGCCCTGAAATGTTTGTTTCTTGGGCAAACTGAAAGGTTTTTGAGTGAACCCAAAATTTCTTTAGTGAACTAAAATAATTGTAAGAGACTAGAGATTTACAGAGACTACAATTTTACATCTCATCTCAATATTCCTCTCATTGCTTTGTCTCTTTAGGATCCCCATACATTCGCAGTGTGGTGCTTTGATATTTGTGCAGTAATTGCGAAAAACAAAACTAATAAACCTGAGACATATGGCCAAAACGAATCAAAGCTTTTGATCAGTATTTCTTTTCGTTTAGTAGTGTTTGAATCTCGATAAACCTGGATCAACAAGATGGAGATAGCAAAGACCACACAAAATGCTTCAGACACATTGAGTAGGTGTGACACCCATGCATTTCTACACTAGAACTCTAGACATTTATGATATAATCAAGTGCAACAATAACAATTGTACACACACTTGCTGGATCCCCCTACACACACACACACAATCAAAAATCACAGAGGCATGTGAGTTTACATTTATAAAACATCAAATGGCTTCTCAGATGATCTGGGCATACGGTCACATAAAACTGCTGAAGCACTTTTGATACTCTGATTGCTGATCTTACAGAAAATAGCCATTAAAATACCTTCATTTTAGTGATACATCAAGTAGCTACAAAAACATGGATAATATGTTTTTGTAGTGTTATAGAGAGGATCGGACGAGCTCCAGAGCCTTGTGCTAAAACTTTCAAGCATTGCTGTAATGGTTAAATGCTTTGTTCTGTGCTGCCTTGTTACTAATTGTAGCTTTAGAACATCTTGGCTTACACTACATTACAGCATAGATCTCAAACTTGATTCCTGGAACCAGCAGCTCTGGACAATTTTGCTCCAACCCTAATCAAACACAGCTTATCCAAATAATCAAGGAGTACTAGAGACTATTATGCAGGTGTGATTTGAAGGTGGTAGGAGCTGTGGCTCCCCAGGAATTTGGTTCGAGATCATTGCATACAGAATGTCATCATCATCAAATGTCACTGACTGCTGGCAAACATCATATATTCACCTGTCTGGATTTTAAATAGTCTGTGTATATAAATCTAATTTTTTGAGATGACTTCTGTAATGCGACTGTAGGAGTTAACTGCTTATTTTCTGCAATAAAAGTAGAGATACACATTTAACGTGTACGAGTTTAACAGCTCAGCCTCAAAACCAACTACAACTATAAAGACACATAGAAAGCCTGTGTAAAGTCCTTCAATTCAAAGTGCTATCCAACTGGACGTGTTTCAAGTCTGAAAACGGCTTCATCTGTCAGACGCTTCACGACGCTGCGAGTGGAGGATGACGGTTTGATTTCCAATAGTACAGTGATGAGATGACGACAAAATGGACTAAGAGCTCAACATCTACAGAGTATACACCTAATACATACTGTAAAGATGTTTAAAATCCTTCGAAATGGCTCACAAACATGTAAACATTGATAAAATAAACATATCTTACTAAAATAATGTCATATAATAATTTTTCTTCTAAAAATCAGCGAGTAAAATAGTGGGAACGCTCTCTGATTTTGCAATGCAAACATATTAGCAGACGGACTTTACCTCACAGTGAAACACAGACACCAATAATGGCAGCCTCGCAAAGAGGAGCTGTCGGTTCTTTATGTAGCCAGCAGAGGGCGCCGCTTTACTGAGAGGCTGAAACCGGTTCGTGACAAACACTCTTAATGTGAGAGGAGACGAACATGTCTGAATCTCTTCGTCCATTTTCTCCTCCCACGAAACAGACTTTGGTTTTTGACACTTTTCCTTCTGGCATCTCTCAACCCTAGCGTTTAATCACCACCTGTTCGTAGGCACCAGCACCAACCCTAAAAAAGAGAAGCCATCAGCATTTTACATGAAGCCCAGTAAACGCTTTGCACTGTACTAAATGCACCGGGCTACATTTTTATAGACCGCGAGGGAATACCAGTGATAACTGTGTGATTCATTGTCAAGTAAAAGAGAGAGGAAGCCTAAAATTTAAATCCTCAATTAGCTTCATGTTGTAACAAACTGTTTTGGTGATTTACTTATGTGACACACTACCAGAAATGCAGGAGAAAAAGAGGTTTAGCAGAACACACAAGCTGTTCTTTTTTCATATAACTGAATTGAAGTGAATTGGGACAGATATCAACCTCCAGAAAGAACCACTAATGTAGTCCGTGTGAATTTATCCCTAGTAGCAAAGAATTCTTGCCCAGATTTGGCAAAAAGCTGGCACAGCAGGCATTCATCCGGCACTGGTATACAGCATGTGGGCCAAACATGGCCCGGGTTTGGCAGAGGTGGCACTGTTTTTAAGGCAGCACACAAGATTTGGGCCAGATGAAAAACGTAGTATTTGGCCCAGATTTAAAAATTTGATAAGTGGGCCAATTGAGTTTGGCCAGTCTTGACCCACATTTAAAATACAATAAAATCATTTTTGAGTAAAGAAAAAAAATTCTACCAATCAGGTCACTTTGAGAAAAAGCATGCCCATAGTGTGCCTTAAGCGCATCACTCCATAGGTTTGTCAATTTCATTGCAATCGTGACACACCAACCTATCTGGCCCAGTTCAGGCCCAGTTATGAGTTATTAACTTGACTGAGACTTGGCCCACATATGGTCTGTGTTTGGCCCTTGTCTGGAAGCCAGATTTGGTCCAGTCATGTACCGTAATTCACTGCGGCATGTGGGCCAAGCAAAACCTGATTGTGTGGGCCAGAGATGGGCCAGAGAAATTTTGCTATGTGGGATGTTACTGTATTTCCAGTCATTTTCATAATTGCTGTTGTATGGCTTCAGAAGACTTGCCCACAAATACATTTACGGTCTCTTTTGATCATTCTTTTAAAGGAAGAAAATTAGGACAATTATCTAAACTCTTTGGTCATTTTTGAGCAAGATGCTAATGGTCTAATCCGATTCAATTATCTATGCTAAGCTAAGCTAATAGTGCTCCTGCCTGACTTCAAGATCAAATGAATGGATTCAAAGATGTTTTAACTACACAATTTAACTCCTTGGGAGTTGCAAAATGAGGTTATTTACAAAAAAGGTAAAGTGATCGTTTTAAAAGTGCTGTATGTCAGGTTTTGACTTTTCTAAAGCATAAAATACCATAATATGTTTGCAGATAATTAAGAAACATGCAAAGTGAAAATACTTGTTTATCTGAAAAGTCAGCTATTCTGCTTTGAAAAAAATGTGAGTTACGTGCCGGAATATCTGTCTTTGTTTTGGTTCTTTTAACCTGCCCACTGACACTTTAGCCTATTATATTTCAGCACCCTGGGTTACCTTGTTGAAAAACCTGGTATTTTATTCATTTATTCAGAAAGGCTCTAAGCATGTGTCCGTGACTGAAATGAGACCTCCGGTGGACAGTAGCAGACTCCGAAATGAGAAGCAGATTCGGAGTTCCACATGAGGTGGTTATGAATTAGCAAATAATATAAATATTATGAAGGTAAACATTGGGTGAGCAGGTTACATTGTAAGCCTGTGTCATAACAACACGCTACGTACAGTAACAAGGTGAGCAGTGATAAGCAATTTAGCTGTTTGCACCAGACGAAACATGACAGAAATTTAAATACAGCTGTTCAGATGCACAGAATATGCACTCACTAATGAATGAGTAATTAATACATATTAAACCTCTTTAACATTATTGAAAGTAGATGCTGAATCACTTAGATGTGTTGGTTTGCATTATTTCACAGTTCTAAAGTTTCATTTCAAACGGTTAATTTCTGCTGCCGCTTTCAGTATATGGCTATGAATGTCAGGTAAAATGGCATTCAGACTCACAATGTTAGCATTTAGCACTGAATAAAGCACATGAGGTGTACATGAGGTGATTCATAGTTTTCTGTTGTTCAGCTGCAAGAAAAAGAAGCTGCTTCTAATATACAAGTTTGAGGTGTTGGTTAAAACAAAAACTCATTTTAATATGGAGAATATTCCTTCTATTGTGTGCCTTTGTTTTTATTTAGAACACAAACTAAGCCTTAAATCAGCCTTTAGGCCTGATAGGCTCACTCCTGTAGGTCCTAATTTTTTTTAAACATCATTATATGTAAAAGGGTAGCTTGAGCGTTCTGTGAAACATCTTTTTTATGCTTCTAGAAAAAACTCAGTTATATAGGTTTAAAACAATATGAAGACGAGTATCACTGGTGTGTTCAAGCATGTAGTTTGGTTCATTTGGTCCTGGACCAAAATTTTAAAAAGTACATTATTTATCATTTACATTTTGCTGCAAAATTTCTCAAATATCTGAAACAATGCTGTGTGCTGGGCTCATTATATGTTTGTACATTCAATTGTATTTTTATAAATTGAGCACCCATGATTTGCCAATGAGTTGCATTTCTGATGCTTATATGGAACTGTATTGAGCCAAACTAAAATGACAAAAAGACAAAAACACTTGCTTAAGAATTCTGTCCTGACTGTGGTCACATCTTACAACATAATTTCCTATTTTTGGTTGGTTTAGATGTCTTTTGCCTGTGTCATGTTCATATTTCAGTAAAGTTCTACCATAGTTCTTGTTTGCTATGCACAAATGTTCTGATGACGTTTTACATTTAATCAAATAAACTGCACTAACAAAGCAATTGTACCAGTTTGTTTTATTCGAAACAAACCTGCCAAATGTGAACACACCCAAAATGATGGCAGCATTTTCATTGTTGGCTAAAATATTCCTTCAGACTCACCTGGCAGGAAGATGGTGACTACCAAGTGCTGTGCTCCCACCAGGACCCACAAACAAGCGCAGACCTTCCTCTGAAATACAACAAACACACACACACACACACACACACACACAAACACAAACACAGACACAGACAGACACACAGACAATTGATTTAGATAGTGCCTCCATTCCTCACACACAAAGTCGTGACTTCTCTGGAGGATGCAAAAACAAATTGGTCTATTTCTAATGAGAACCTGTCGCCAGGTCATCTAAAAATAATACGAGAGCTAATAGGACACACATATAGAGACGTGTTCTGGCACAGATACACTTCAAAACACCTACCAAGAAGCAGCAGCTACTGGTAAACACTGTTTCCAATTTAACAACCTGTTTCTGGCTCTGTTTTTTATTTCTGTTTGCTCTCAATCCAAGTGTGCTCAGATATTGTTCCAGCGCTATTATTACTGGCTCAAAAATACTATATCATGAAATTCACACTATTAAAAGCAACAAATGTAAAAAAGATTGTGTATAAACTGATCAATCCTTCAATTCAAAGCACTGCAAATTAAATGATTAAAACTAATTGTTTAAAGCCACTAATTCTAAGCATTAAATACAATATAATGAACGGCTGAATATGAGAAATGAAAAGGTTTATAGGTTATTTTCACATGATGTCACTGATGACGCTCAAAATTCAGATGCAGGGCAGGAAGTGGTTCTTCTGCATAGGAATCGCTATCAGAACATTACAATGTTTCTGTTTTATGTTGTTTATAATTGTTTAAATCAGCCAATTTAAGAAATGCCAAACAGTTTTATAGACGTCCAAAAGTTTTTGCTTATAAAGGGGGGAAAGTTAAAGAAACTGGCTAAAATAAATGGAAGAAAAGGCGCCATCTAATAAACATTTATTCAATACATGTATAAATATATTAATATTTTAAAAGATGTAAATGTGTTATAGAAAAATCAGATTCAAACACCACCACACTTATACAACATCCAAAATAATATAATTAACGTACCCTGCAATGTAATCGCTGCAATGAAATGTCCGTCTTGTTTTGCAATAATCCAAATCTTTTCTGCATTTTGGCGAAATAAACAATTGTAACGGTAACATCTATTCCCGCAGCAGTGGTGAATGTTTGTTGATGGTGAGTTCATTGACCAAACACAAAAGAAATGCAACCCTTGCGATAAAACTAGGCGGTTATTATTGAGGAGCACTTATCCCCTATAAATAATAATGTAGACTATAGTAACTTACAAAAAAATAAATAAATAAATAAAAACTATAGTAACTTATAATAAACATGTTTTAGAACCCCATAGTAAAGTGTATAATGTAATAAATTCTTTGTTAATGAATTCTACAGAATACTGTAGCATAGTAAACTGATAAACTGTAGTAAATACTGTAACACTAGTGGTGTAAACACACAGTGTAAACTGTGGTGCATTGTGATGGTTTATAAATATAGAAACAAGCCTATTGAATAATTTGCTTATTACAACAGTAGTGTCATACCACAGCAACATTATAATTACTACGACAGTTTAATTCAAGTAATTATCAAAAGTTTGCTTCCATATATTATAGTATTTACTATAGTATTTTTTCATGTACTTTCCTCTGTGTCTCCTGGTCAGTTTTTTTACTTCCTGCCCTCCAACAGAATTTTGCGCATCACCAGAATCACGTGATTGAAAACAACCTATTGCAAATAGATTTAAGACTTATTTTATTTTAAGATTGTAGGGATTTTGATGATGAAGAAGATTTTATTCTCTCTGTATGAAGTATTTTCTAAGTGTAAAGCAGTTAATTTTCTCTTCACAAAATGTATGTAGTGTTTGCAGCAAACATGCCAGCCTGTGTTAAAAATACTGTGTAAGATGAGTATACCTGCACAGGAGCAACACTAGGAGAAGGCTGAGTGACTGATTGTGTAGAATAACTGAATATGTAAAGCATTGATCATATATGTTAAATACTTCTATGAAGCTATATGTGTCAGAAGTTAGAATGAGTAACATATTATCAAGTGATTATGCTTTCATGACAATGTATGTAAACACTTAGTTTCTTTGCATAAGTTGCATCTATACTTTGCTGACATAGACCTGTAACATCTCTGTTGACATGAGCTAGTGGGCTGAGAGCCAAGAACAGCAGGACCCCTTAGACTAAAAACCTATTCAAAAATGGTCAAGAGTTAAAAAGAGACTTAGGGGTGTGTCAAATAATCCTGTATAAAGATTGTAACAAACACAGATACTTCAGAAGGTGTCCAGGAGAGACTTCAGAATGCTCTGGGGTCTGCTCTGCTCTTTCTCGGCTTTATTATGGAGTATAAAGTCTATTTTCTGATATTCAAAACCTCTGGTCTGATAATTTCTAAATGATAAAAAGTCTAAATTTACGACAATGAGAGCATGACAGGTCACTGCAGTTCCAATTTTTTTTTTCATAAACTTTTCAAAAATATTTGTATTTATTAAAAACCTGATTTGTTTCCTTTGTTGGTAAAGCTGAATTGTCCAGTCATTAATGTCACATGACCCTTCAGAAATCATTCTAATGTATTGATTTGCTGCTCAAAAAAAATAATTCCAATTAAAAATGTTAAAAACAGTTGTGCTGTTTATTATTTCATAAAATGTGATCACATTTGGTTTCAAGATAGTAATTAAAATGAATAAAAAGCAGGTATTAGTTAACAACATAAATCTGTTAGCATTTTAAATTTCACTCAGAGGATATTTACTTATAGTATATTTCAATAAACATATTAAAAATCAATTGTTACCTTCAGCGCTGGAGTCCAGCAGACTGTGGGTGAAATCCTGGCTTTGCAGGATCTTCTCTACTACATCATCTGCATCCACCCGCGTGGCATCCATCCTTTTCAGCTGAGACTCCATGGAGTCCTGTTTCACTGGGTATCTTTGTAAACATGAGAAAACAGTTTGATTATCAATATACATTCACTTAATATCTTGCATGCAAAGCTTGACGAATATGCAGTGTTCAGTGTTTGTCTGACCTGCTGGCAGCTCTGTCAGGGGTTGATGGGTGTTCAGGCACAGCAGTGCAGACTCCCGGGGCAGTAGGGGGCACTGTAGTTTGCTCGCTCTCCTCACTGGGTTCAGGGATGCTGGCAATGCCAGTGGAAGCACTGCCGATGGAAGTGTTTCTCCTGTGGGAGAACTCTGACAGACTGGAGGAACGAGAGTGACTCGTGCTATAGCCTGAGGAACAAGACACAACATTGTGTTTAAATGACTTTTTCTTTTTCTAAGGAGAACAGATAAATGAGGGTGAATTTCCTGAACAACAACATATCGAGCTGTTGAGTTCACGCATAAATAATAACTTTGTCTTGTTAATTTACACTTATTGCATTTGTACATGTACACATCATCTATATATACTCATATTATTCCGTTTCATAAAGAGACAAAAATAGTCTTATTTAGCAACTGTGTCTTTTCAGAAGACTTCAATTTTTGTTTTTCATTTGAATTTTTTAATCATTTTAGCTGTAAATATCAAAACATTAATATTTAATTATCATTTCTTTTTTATAAATCTATAATGAACTAAGTACTGAAAATAGTTACGGTACACTGTGGACCTTCTGGACAAAAATGAATTGAAATGGCAATATTTAATTCCGATACCATTAAAGTACCATTTTTTTTTTTAAATGTAAAATTTGCAATAATTTAGCTCATTTATTCAGGCACTCAGCAAATATACGTTTGGTGATGGCAGTTTAAAGATGTATGGAGAATACGGTCACATGGATTGCTCAGGTGTGATTTTTTCACAAATTTCAGAGTTTAAAAATCTTGATGGTTCTGTGGGTTTTGTTTATCCAATCTGATCTTTATTTTGTATTTTCAATTGGATTGATTGTATTTTCAATCAGGTGATTGGCTGAGCCATTCTACAGCTTGATTTTCTTTTTCTGAAGCCATTTGCAAGTTTCCTTGGCTGTGTTTTGAATCATTGTCTTACTGAAATGTCCACCCTGGTTTCATCATCATCATCCTGATAATGTAGATGTTGGATTGAAGCAGCTAATATTAATTTACGATGATGAAGGAGAGTTGCTGAAGAACTACTGAGAGATTTCAGATGGTGTCTGGGCATTCTGCTCCCTTTCTTCATGTGTTCAATACTTTTTTCCTATGTCATTTCACTTTATTACACAACTTCATTTGTAAAGTAATTAGATTTGTTGTCTTTTCATATATGCATTTCTTTGGTTTTATCTGGTGAAAATTTCAAGTCAACAGCACCTTTAGAAATGTGTTTTCCGAGTAATCTTACAGAAATTATATTTTCTAGGTAATCTTACAGTATCTATCTTATACAGTATCTATCTGAGGTTTTTGTGTGAACTGGCTTTCAATGGACCAAAATTTCATTGCAACCACAGTAAATGACAAACCTTTTAGAAAAGGCACTCCTTCCCTGGTAACTCACAGCCTACACTTTAAACACCTTCACAGATTAATCAATCAATTTGTATTGACGAGACATTTAACGTCCCCCCACCCACACATGCTATTCAGGTTACTGTCAAGCCGAGGAGCTTCCGATAGTGTTAATGCTAGTATACAGGCAGCTAGTGGCGTACCAATATCCTCCCACATAAGCAAACTTAGACATAATGAGCACTTCTGTTTGCTTTGTTTGACTGTAAAACTAACTTTACACTTTGAGATGCTCTAATGCAAAAGGTCAGCGTGAGCGATGTGTAACTGAATCGAAGAGAATGGCTTAATGGAATAAGGACTGAGTGCTGTCTCTTCTCTGGAAGTACCAGAGGAAGTGGTGTTATCAAATTAGACTTAGGACATTTAATCCAGCTCTTTTGTGATGGCCAGAATCTTTCTAAGAGCCCAATTTCAGATTATTTAATAAGGCAAACAGCACTATGCCACAAACTGAGAACAAAACGGCTTGAAGACGCTTAGAAATGCCTTGTTCAGCAAACGATCAAAAAAGGTCATTCAATTGTTAATTGTCAAACTTTAAAAGGTCAAAATAAATCAGTATGGGCAAAAATGTATCGCATCCAAAAAAAAAAGTTTGTTTTGACATAATATGCTTGTGTGTATTATATGTGATACCCACATACATAAAAACAAAGCTATTTTGTTACATAGAAATTTAAGGTTATATATAATTTGTATCGTCTACACATAATTTTTTATATCTGGAGATAAATAAACATTTATATAAATAGAGCAACAAATAATAACTTGACTTCTAGTTGATCATTTGGCAGAAGGTAGATTTTACAGATCTGCATACACTCTAGATTGTTAAAAAAAAAAATCCATCAATTTTGGTGAAGGAAAAATCATGGTTTGGGATTACATTCATCATGTGCACAAGAACTGCAGAGTGGATGGCAACATCAACAGCCTGAGGTATCAAGACATTTGTGCTGCTGATTACGTTACAAACCATAGGAGAGGGAAAATTCTTAAGCAGGATAACGCTTCTCATACTTCAGCCAACACATCAAAGTTCTTGAAATCAAAGAAGGTCAAGGATTGGCCAGCCCAGTCACCAGAGATGAATATTATTAAGCATGTCTGGGGTAAAATAAAGGAGGAGACATTGAAGATGAATCCAACGAATCTTGATGACCTCTGGGAGACCTGCAAGAACTGTTTCTTTGCCATTCCAGATGACTTTATTAATAAGTGATATGAGTCAATGCAGACATGTGTGGATGCAGTCAAGCTCATGGGAGTCAGACACAATATTAATTCTTGTTTCCACTGCATCATGACTTTATATTCTATACTGTACATTATTTTTGTTAAGTGACAGGACTTTTGTCTAAGCAAAGTCAGACCTTACGGTCCTAATTAAATAATTAAAAATCAAGGCATGATCATATTTTATTTTGGTCAAATAAGCATAATTTAGAGGCCTTTACCTTTCATATAAGACACTTCTGATACCAAATGATCAACAAGAAGTCAAGTTATTATTTGTTGTTCCTAAAATCCTTGGATAGGTGACACAACTTTTGTCAGGTAGTGTTTATGCATGCATGTGTGTATTTATAAATGCATAATAAATATACACAGCACACACACATATATATTATGTCAAAACAAACTTTTATTTTGGATGTGATTAATCGCAATTAATGCTTGCCCAGCACTAAATTAAGTTTAAAGTTTTTTTTGTTCTTTTAATGGATAGATATTTTGCATCACTTTTAATACCATGCAAAGAAATAAGGTTGATATAATTAGAACATTTTGAACTACCTGGATGTGTTACTTTACCAAAAGCTACAGTAAACGTTCATAACAGTTCAATTTCATTCAATTTTTAAGTATTGTACAAAACAAGGGGGTGACATGGTGGCTTAGTGGTTGGCACTGTCGCCTCACAGCAAGAAGCTCGCTGGTTCAAGTCCCTGCTGGGCTAGTTGCCATTTCTGTGTGGAGTTTGCATGTTCTCCCTGTGTTCATGTGGGTTTCCTCCAGGTGCTCCGGTTTCCCCCACAGTCCAAAGACATGTGCTATAGGTGAACTGAATAAATTAATTGCCCGTGGTGTATGAGTGTGAGTGAATAAGTGTGTATGAATGTTTCCCAGTATTGGGTTGCAGCTGGAAGAGCATCCGCTGTGTAAAACATGTGCTGGATAAGTTTGTGATTTTTTCCGCCGTGGCGATCCCTGATAAAAGGACTAGGCCATGAATGAATAGATAAACATAAAGAGTATGTTCAAGACCTTTAGGTAAGAATAAAAATCACCCCGTAATAGAGAAATTACAAAGACATTTGATGCATTTCAGTAACCCAGATCCAATAGCCATCCAAAACAAAACATGGTGTTTGTCCCTAATACTTACATACCAAAGTGTACCCTTTGTGTAAATTAATTGATGAGGTATATTAGTTCACACACATACTCATTTCATTACACCGACTGCAAACACATCACATGCAGCATTCATTCTGAATTACTATATGCTTTAATCATCTTGCAATACCAGCACATTGATTGACAGCCTGATGGTGTTACAGCCAGGGGTATAGCAGACAATGCTAATCAGGCATGCGTTCAAGTCGAGAAAGAACAATGAGTCACATCAGAGAGGAAACAGTGGAAAAAGGAAAGCCTACCTGAAACTTTGGACTGCTGACTAGCATAACTGGACGTTCGAGAGTGTCCGCAGAGCCCCAGCTCATCAGGCAGAGAACTGCACTTCCCTGATGTCTCTGTGGACATAAGGGATTCAGTTCAGTCTTAATTAAAGCTGCTTAATCGCTTTACGAGATTCAATGCCAATCTAAACTGATCCTTTTCTAATTAAAATCTATAGACAGTCGCTTTTTTGTTCAACGAGTATTTAATATGGTTCTTAAAATCTATTTTTTGGTGAACGTCCAATATAATTATACCCTGATAAGAGTTAGAATGGACTTTAAACTTGCTCAAATGCAATTAGTTTTTATGTAATACATGAACATATTTACTAAATAACCTTTTTAAAACTACAACATCTAGCTTAATTTAAAAAAAAAATATTACAGATAATAGAAATGCTGTTCATAGTAGGAAATTTGAAATGTAGACAGCAAAATGCATCTATTTGATGGTTGTAGCCTTTTAAAAATGCTTGTCAAGTACCCAGTTTTAGTTCCTTTGCTGGCATGTTTTCGATTAAAACAGGAAGTTAGGGTATGAGATATTTTTAAATCACCATTATGTTTACGTCACAGCACACATCTTTGATCTGCTACAAGCTAATTTTAGTTGACAGCAGGTGGTGCATTAAAATGAGTGGGTTTTTTTATTGTAGTGATGAGGACTTTATTAGCTAAGCATATAATAAATCTAAACATAAAAAAGCAGGTTCATTACTGCATTATTCAAATACAATAATAATACATAAATAACTCAAATTCCATTGGCTAGCGTGGGCTTAAAGCTAACGAATATAATAGGTCAAATCAATAACCAACATCTACACGAGTGTGATGCTCTTACTAACTAATATGTCAGATTTGGAAATACTCTAAATGAGAAAAGAAAATTTTAATTCAGTATTTTATTATTAATATTATTAAGCAGATACTTGGATAAACAGTAGGTACATGCCATGTGAAATATATAATATAAGGTTTTGGTTTTAAACATACACTCACCTGCCACTTTATTAGGTACACCTACTAGTACCGGGTTGGACCCACTTTTGCCTTCAGAACTGCCTTAATCATTTGTGGAATATATTTAACAAGGTACTGGAAATATTCCTCAGAGGTTTTGGTCCATATTGACTTAATAGCATCATGCAGTTGCTGCAGATTTGTCATTCATGATGTGAAAATCCCATTCCACCACATCATTTGGTACTCTATTGGATTGAGTTCTGGTGACTGTGTAGGCCATTTGAGTACAGTGAACTCATTGTCATGTTCAAGAAACACGATGGTCATGAAGGGATGGACATGGTCAGCAACAATTCTCAGGTAGGCTGTGGCGTACTAATATGCCCAATACTAATACCCAATACTAATAATAACTAATGTGCCCAAAGTGTGCAAAGAAAATATCCCCCACACTATTACTGTACATCACCACCAGCCTTAACCGTTGATACAAGGCAGGATGGATCCATGCTTTTATGTTGTTAATGCAAATTCTGACCCTACCATACGAATGTCGCAGCAGAAATCAAAACTAAGACCATGCAACGTTTTTCCAATCTTCTATTGTCCAATTTAGATGAGCCTGAGCTAACTGTAGCCTCAGTTTCCTGTTCTTGGCTGACAGGAGTGGCACCCGGTGTGGTCTTCTGATGCTCAAGGTTGGATGTGTTGTGCATTCAGAGTTGTAATGAGTGGTTATTTGAGTTACTGTTGCCTTTCAGCTGAAACCAGTCTGGCCATTCTCATCTGACCTCTGGCATCAACAATGCCTTTGTACCCACAGAACTTCCACTCACAGGATATTTTCTCATTTTCTGACCATTCTCTGTAAACCCTAGAGATGGTTGTGCTTGAAAATCCTAGTAGATCAGTCATTTCTGAAACACTCAGACCAGCTTGCCTGGCACCAACAACTATGCCACTTTTAAAGTCACTTAAATCTCCTTTTTTCCCCATTCTGACACTCGGTTTGAACTGCAGCAGATCGTCTTGAGCATGTACATGCCTAGATGCATTAAGTTGCTGCCATGTGATTGGCTGATTAGAAATATGCATTAATAAGCAGTTGGACAGGTGTACCTAATAAAATGGCCTGTGAGCCTATGTAAACAACTATAACATTACCCTTATCCCAGCCCAAATGACCCCACAAACAAAAATTAACAAACAATTATCCCATCTACAAAGAATTAAATTTAGTATCTAATGTGAATTCATATTTAAATGAGCAGCACGGCTACTATCTCTTCAAAGTGTCTTTCTGAACAAATGGCGATGCTTATTAATTCATTAATCGCCTCTAACCATACGCCAATTTTGGCAACTCGTCTTGTATTCCATTGAACTTTCGGATTAAATAGGCTAATATGAATATTAATATGGCTTTAATATTGTTCAGTTATTACTATGAAAGCGGCACTGGGACTTCTACTAATCCCATGTTATGAAGTGTATTCCCGCTCCACATCACAAGTATATATCCTTATAAAAGCAGAGGCAAGAGCAGCACGCGGCTGAATTATACATTAAAGACTGATGCTTTCGCTGGGCTCTGGACAGGAAAGGCACGCAGCATGTATGAGGGCAAAGAAAGGATAAAAGGAAAAGTAGGGGAAGAGAGAGCACTCTTTCAAGCTCCCGTTCAAGCTCAGCAGTATCAAATCAAACATACAGTTCTTAAATTGCAGAACTGATAAGAATTTAATGATTTAAACAGTTCATTAAAGCAACTAACAATATTTAAGCATGAAAATATAAGAATTGCAAACACAATTAAACACATGTAAAAGACAAATGCTATAAAACAAGGTCTGCGTATTTTGCTGCTGCATATTTTGTACCATGCCAAAGATTATTAAATATTACTGTCACTGCCCCTATGGTTAGTGTTGGACTTGAAATCAGAAGGTTGCGCTGCTCTGAGTGTGTTCACTGCAGTGTGTGTGCACCTGAATGGATTAAATGCAGAGCACATTTTCAGAGTATGGGTTGCCACGTTAAAACTTTTAACTTTCCTTACAATAAAATATGGTTATTTTATTGGCTTGTGTTATATTAAGTTACAGGGTTAAATTGAAAAAGTCTTACTAAGTACTTTATATTATCTAATATAATAATTCATCATTATTAAAAAACATTTTTGGTTTTGGTTTTCCGCATCCAGAATTTTCAGTTTCGTTGGGGCTTTTTCATTTTTATTTCCCTGCATTCCTGTTTTTTTTTTTGTTTGATCTTAAAAAATAACAACAATAATCACTATATTTAAGTTATTATTTAATCAAATTTAATAAATATTTATTGCTGGGCAAATATTTATCATGATTAATCGCATCCGACATAAGAGTTTGTTTTGATATTATATATATATATATATATATATATATATATATATATATATATATATATATATATATATATATATATATATATATATATATATATATATATATATATAATTATTATGTATATGTGATACATCCACATACATTAAAAAACTATACTAAACAATCTTGTTACATATTTAAATGTATATTTAATTTGCATCATATACATATATGTTTTATATTTAAATATAAACTATCATTTTCTCAAATATATGTATTTATATAAACATAATAAATATACACAGTACACACACATATAAAATGTCAAAACAAACTTTTATTTGGGATAAAATTAATCACAATTAATCCTTGCCCATTTATTGCAAAACATTTTTTTTTATCAAGTGCATCCAGAATTTTCGGTTTTGGAATTTTAATTATTTTAATTTAATTTTAATTATTTTGATGCAGCCATACTTTTTTGTTCAGACTAGGGCTGTGCGATTAATCGAAATCGAATTGCAATCGCAATTTGAAACGTTACGATTAGCTAATTGTAATTGCTGTGATATGAAATATATTATGTATTATATAATTTCCCCCACCCAGAGCAAATGCAAGACTGCCGTCTATGTATGACAGTCTTACCAGTGAGCACACTTTCATTCTGCCCAATCAGAATTGTGCAACCGGACTATGCAGAAAGCCCACAATAAAACAAACAGGAAATTGGCAACAACAAAGTAATTTCAGAGTAGTTTGCAGACGTTACAACATGAATAAACATCACGAAGGAACCAGGAAATAATTAATGCAATAACTTACTACTGTTTTATTTTCATATATATATATATATATATATATATATATATATATATATATATATATATATATATATATATATATATATATACACACACATACACACATACAAGCAAATTTAAATAAAAGATGGAGTTAGTTAATCTTTTCAGTTTCTTTTTACTAAAACACGGTGAATTTTTTGCAGTCAGAAGCTACAATACAGAAAATTGAGCTGAAGCTTGAAAATGAAATTAAAATTTGATCGCAAATCAAAAACGCAATATGTGTTAAAAAAATAAAAACTCAATTAGATATTTTTTCCCCAATGATCGCACAGCCCTAGTTCAGACACCAAATAACTACATACCTGTATGGTGTGTAACATTTACCTGAGAGGCTCAGAAAAGGTTTTTGTGTGTCTCCTCCTTTCCTGTCTTCCAGTAGGCCCTCAGGATCTCCCTGAATGCCTATTACGGTGGCAGTTGACGGAGGCCTGATGCATGGAAGAACCCATAATCAAGAATATGGTTAAAAGGATTTTAAATGAACAGTTTAAAAAAAATACAGCATTAAAGAATTAAGCCATCTCAATCCACCCACTGACAGTAGTCCAAAAAGCAGCCCCCTAGAATCCCCAAACTCCATCCTCTCCCTCTCTCTCTCCATGCTTCAACCCACACAAATGTTTTCAGCAGGTTTTTTCCTTCACGCACAATGTGAGCTGCAGTGTGGTTACATGTGTGGGAGGACAGTGTTGGTTTCCAATATGCAAATCTGTGTTCAAAACCCTGATTTCCCCAGAGCACTCATTCACACTCCTTCCCAAACACACATAGATATACACACACACACACACACACAAACACACACTCACACAAACAAACAAGCCATTTCTGAGCAAATACTACAACAGCACTCTCAAATGTTCAATCGGAAAAGGTCTCTCTGGGTCTTTGGCTAAATATAAATATAAACAGATCTGATAGCAGAAACATTTAGGCCTTTTTCACAACCATATGGCAATACTGTATTACTTCAGTAGTGTCAGCAATCAAATTCTAACATTGACGGGTATGAAGAGTAAGACTCACGTTTTGAAACAGGGGTCTCCGGACATCAGCTGTGTGCTAATAATCACCTGCAGGAAACACAAACAAGTAAGAAAACTGGAAGTGTCTGACATGTGATAAATAATGTTTGGCCCTTATTAAAGCAAAAATGATAAATGAGCAATTCCAGCATTATGGATGTGACATTTGCAGTAAAAACTTAAAACAACATTATATTGAAACATCTGATATCATTTTTCTAAACAACATAAACATTAATCCAGAAAAAACAAACAAAAAGCGCTCTGGGGTAAGCTCAAATGTATGGTCGGTGCTCTTTGGGTAAGGGATTCTTCAAAACAGCAACAAGAATCAGTCCAAGGCATTCGAATAAAGTGAAAAATTTAAAAAGCCTTTATTCACATGGCTAAATCTCTAAAAACCTACGCGTTTCGGCAGAAGTCTGCCTTCATCAGGGTAACAGACAAACATAAACATTATTTTGATTTTAAATGAGAAAAATTATAATGCGCTAATAGGGCTGAGCGATTTAGGTTAAAATTCAAATCTCGATTAATTGGACATTTTAACTCGATTACGATTAATGAGTGATTATTTTAGTAATTTATCTTTGCCCTAACAGTTCACGGACAAGTTTTGTGCAGTTAAATATGCTCACATATTACAAGTAAGAGAAGAAGGGTGCATTACATGATTTTAAACATAATTGAAGGAAACATACACTATCTACTATCTATGATTATTATTGAACATCAACTGAAATAAAGCACACATTGCCTAAATAATTTGCACTTTTAGAAACAAAATAAATTATTTTCAGTGTTTTTCATATTAAAAGTAGAAAATAAGCAGTACCTCTTTTAAATAAAATAACTCTCGTATAACTCTTGTATATCTTGAAAATATTTTGTAGTGCATTTCTTGCATTTTCTGCAAACAAATAATTGAATGTAAATAATAATTTTTAATGTAATAGAAAATATGCCGCCTCAAGGCATGTCAGGTGCAGCTCCCAATCATCTTCAGTGTATGACCAGAGATCAGATGTGGCTGTAAAGTGGCCACAGAAGTATAAATCAGCCGCAGCCTTTAACAGAGTGTGGTCATGTGACTCTAAATGCAGTAGAGAAAGTAATTTTAAAAATCGTTCTGGAAAATTTAAATGATTATAGGTTCCGAATGTCGATTTCGATTATTTTTCGAAATTTCGCACAGCCCTATGCGTTATGGATGTAACCAAAAAGATTTGTCAGTTTACAGTTTACAACATAGTTTGTAGAAATTCTGTGAATTACACTGCACAACCCAAATGAAATAATACTAGTCAAAAGGATAAGAGTTGGCTCTTTATAGAACAAAAATATATTTTTTTTATTTAACATTGTTGAATTTATGAGGAAAAAGCTTTGTTATAGATGTGACATCTCTCTATTATGGATGTGACAGATGTGAAATTGGCACTTGTGTGACTTTGGTAAATCAAATATAATTGTTTGAAAACATTGACTGATACATTTTGGAGTATTTTTACAGTACTGTAAAATACAAGCCTAAACAAAAAACCCTGAAAGGGTGCCCCTATATTGGTCAAAACTTTATTTTTTTTCATGGTAAGGTTGGCATTTGCATGGAACTGCTCGGACATTTGCACGGCATTGCTCGAATAATATTTATTACATTTTACATTTACAATTTTTACATTTCATATTGAATTATCGGCTGTTGCATACAAAGGTTATTATAAAAAATTACTAAACTAACATCATAAAATTACAGAAAATAATCTTAAAAAGAAAATTTAAAAGTAAACGTATTTGTTAAAGCATAATTTTCCTTACAAATAAAAGAAAATAACGGATAAAAGCTACACAGATATTTACAAAAACCACTAACAAACTAAACCTTCAAAATAAGAACTTGTGAAAATAAAATGGAATACACAAATATATATATATAATTATGTAAAACATTAATTTCAAAAAAGTAATCTTTAACCCAGGGGTCTCCAAACTCGGTCTTGGAGGACCGGTGTCCTGAATCCCCAATCAGACACACCTGGGCCAGCTATTCAAGCTCTTACTAGGCTTTCTAGAAACATTCTTGCAGGTGTGATGAGGCAAGTTGGAGCTAAAATCTGCAGGACACCGGCCCTCCAGGACCAAATTTGGACATCCCTGATTTAACTCTTTAACAGACATCATAACAACCTGATCGACCTTTTATCCATAGGCTATCATTATTATTTTAATTGCTTATTACTATTGATCAGAGTTGTGTCAGTATATTATCCAATGCAAGCATAGGCCAAAAAATATATTTTCAAAGAGTGCACCCAAAATCATTTCTAAATAATACAAAAAAAATAGTTACTTTTATTCCAAAACAATATGCACTTTTTTTAAATAAATTTTATTGTAAAGCCTGATATATACTTCTGCGTCAGGTGACCAGCGTAACCCACGGCGCATGCAACGCGCGTCGCTGTGCATTTATACTTCTGCGCGCTGTCTCTGTTGGTCTGCATTAACACTTCCGAAACACTAGTTGGCAGTGAGGTGTTAATGTTTGTCTGTGTCGAGTTTCTTCGCGGCTTTTTTGCTTTTCCTGAACACTTCCGGGATATACAAGTGGCTCAAACTCGCTCATTTTGAGGCAGGAACCGGCGGACGTGCAACAACTTTAACTATGAGGTAAACACAAAACAAAACTTTCTATCCGGAGCTCCTTCACGGGACTCCACACTTGTAAACAATCGCTCGCGCCATTCGTGCGGCTCTCGGTCCCGCCCAGACTCGTCAGCGCTACCAAGCCGACCAATCACAGAGCTTACGCTACGCATCGTTGCGACGTGTAGTTACATTTTTTGAGAGGTGCACGTCAGTGACGGCCACGGCGAAGGGCTATGCGTCAGCGACGTAGCATACGCCGGCGTTTGACACAGAAGTATAAATCAGCCTTAACTCTTAATTCCTTAAAACATGTACACAAATCTAAAGTTGAGAAATTAGTTTGGGCCACCTAAAAGTAATAAATAGCATCACCACTTTAGCAGCGAGCACCACTACTATCTTAAGAAACACAAGTTTAATAAACACAAGCATGAATGGATTTAGCTGAAAAGATCATATGAGGAAACTTGATTGTCTTCATACCTTAAGGATGGAGTTGTCCTGTCTAGTGTTTTTGGTGTCGTAACCCTCCAACAGACACCTGCGTGTGGTGCTACCCGATCCTGCAAACTCAGCCAGGTTGAGATCAGCAAAACCCAGCTATGCGAAGAGCCAAAACAGCACACGTTAAGTTTAGACATTCACTTTAAATCATTTAAAAGGTACTAGAGCTTTTGAGTTAAAACAAAGTAAAGAGGTTAATGCTTTTATGAACAGAAGTGCCCAGCTCAAGCACAAACAGTATTACAAACAAACACAATGTTCCGGTGTGATCTATTTTCAGCTGTGCCTTTGCTATCAATATTTTATAATCCTCTACAGAACTGTCTATTTGATGAATTAGCAATGGCCTGTGTTAGTTTCCATTCATGAAAGTGAAATTGTTCATTTGTGTTCACCATGAGGATTTTAGATGATTAATTAATATTAAAATTCTTTTGTTTTTAGCACCAATTTAATTTTTTTTTTTTTTTGCAGCTGACATAATAAAATAATATATTATATATAACACAATTATCATTTGATGTTGAAGTTATGTTTAATATAATATAATATAATATAATATAATATAATATAATATAATATAATATAATATAATATAATATAATATAATATAATTCATTCATTCATTCATTTTCTTTTCGGCTAAGTCCCTTTATTAATCTGTGGTCACCACAGAGGAATGAAACATAACATAACATAACATGAAGTTTAATGTGAAGTTTTAAGCAATCAACAAAGTCTTAATCAAAAATAAAAAAATAAAAAAAACTTTTCTCTCAATTTTCCCAGTTTCATATTCCATACTTTTCTTTTAAGAATGTACAGTTCATGTCTCCCATTTGTGTGCTGCAATCTCACAATTTTGAGTTTTAAACTTCCATTTTTAATGCCACTATTGCAGAATCTTTAATTCAGAATTACAATAAATAATGTTAAAATCATGACCCTCTCACAATTCTGATACATATCTCGCAGTTCTGGCTTTTTGTCAACAGTTCAAAGTTTATGGCAACATTTTATGGCAAAAGTCAGAATTGTGTGATATAAATCGGAATTGTTATTATTTCTTAGAATGTTATAGAGATGAAGCTGTAATTCCTTTTTACTTATTTCATGTTAGAAATCGAGTTATTATAAAGAACCACATGTAAATTAATTACAAGAAAAATAGAAAATTCTTTAAAAAAAAAAAAGTGTTGAAAACTTACAGCATGGCACACACTGCACATCATGTCATGCAAGCACACAAATATACAATGATCACTCAGCATATACAAGTACACCCCACACAAATCTATCTTTCAAATTAATATTTTTAATAGGACGCTATACAATATTATATTTGTTCATATACATTAGATTAGTCAGTACTGAAGCCAAATCTGGAGCTGATCTAACAAAATAACTTATGATAACAAGTACACCAAATGTATATGTCATAGAAAAATATTAAATTCAAATTTAAAAGAGGAAAAGGAAGCAAAAAAAATGAAAAATTGATAAAATTTTGTAGGTTGTAGCTTTTTTGCAATATTTTGCTTAAATTTAATTGTATTCTTTCAATTTCTAAATATGTTGGGTGACTAAAATATTATTTTAATAAATCTGTTTAATAAACCTGTTTTGTTTAAATCCACTAAAATACATTGTCTATGTTTACTGAGAAATGGATTAAAATATTCATTTTCAAAATGGGGAGTACTCAAATATGCTGAGCACTGTAAATAGTGTTTGTATTTTTAATAATAACAACTTCACTGGAATAGATTACCTTCGCATAAGTCTTTCCACCTTTAAGTTCCTGTAAAAAAAAAGAAGTCATTCTCATTATTTTAGCATCAAACCATTTATTGTAAACCAAAAGAGAGATTGTTTGTACCTTTCTGACCGAAACTCGACACACACATGGGTCAAGGACTCCAGTTCCAGCGTTAGCGCTCATTTTACAGGGAAAGGAGAATCGTTTTCTCCAGTGTACACAGTTTGCCTGGACCGTCTCCCTGTGAATGCAAACACACACATACACACACCATAAATACGACTTTAAAAACAAACACACACACACATCCAAAACAGTCCGTCTGATCCGCAATTTACAAAATTCAACAGGGGTGGACAGTTTCTGCATCACTGCTCCTCTGGGACATTTAGAAATGATTTCACAACAAGATGAGTCACAATCATTCTCATTACAATGGAGTAATTTTAACACTCACTTCAACTTCAAGTCGACTGAATTAAAAAGAGTCTGACATAATTAAAGCCTGGAGTCAGAAGGTCATACTGTCAACAAGACGTTTAATTAATTTCCCATCTGTGAATGGACATCCCCGTGCAGGTGCTCGGCTTCCTAATTAGACAGATGTTTGCAGACGAATGAGACCCAGAGGGCTTCTGGAGAGATACCAGACCATGAAATGAGCTTCAGGGAAATTGTGATGCTGCTACACACATGGAGTAGAGTGAGCGTAATGCTAGAATCATGTCAATTTCAGGATTAGTCATTTTGTCCCTGTTGAAGCTGAAGGACAGGGCTGTTAACACAAAGATTGGATGTTCAATTCGACTAAATCACCTTTATTTGTACAGCGCTTTCTACAAGGCAGATTATACCAAAGCAGCTTTACATGAATGAACATGAAATAATAAAATCAGGTTAGAAGATTCATCATTTTGAAGCCATGTGTTGTATTCTTTGCTTTCAGTCATGTAACATTGCATGTAAAATTTGATTTTTTACATTATCTGAACCAATGACTGTAAAAAATATGGACGACGTGATAGCCACTTTCCCCATTGAACGCTTTGAAGGCAAAGCGCCTTATGACAGGCACAAACTGTTACAAAACACTGCTGAAATTGTAGCTTGTGCATGCGCAGAAGGACTGCATGATGGAGCCAGAGGCGGAGCCACGGGATCAAACTTCCAACCAAATGCTTGATGTAAAATCAACCACGCCCCGCAAACTTCTCACTTGACCGCCAGTATCTGCACTATAACAAAGGCTCGCTAATATAAATATAAGCACTTACATTTAAAAACACGTAGTAATATACGATTTAAAAACTGTGTGATGTATCATTTAATGTTATCATTTAATAAAAACAAGCTATGCTGGACTGCAGAAATAAACCATCTTTTATACACTCTAGCCTGAGTTAGACTAATATGAGCACAAAAAAAATATTTATCTTATAACAGGGTTGTTGGCATTTGTTATTTCACTTCATAGGGGTAAAACTAACCTTTGTAAAACATGAACAATAACACATAAACAACACATACATTTTTAGAAAGGTTTTTATTTATAACTAGCAATCAACAGGACCTAAAATATACACACCATAGATAATGATTTACCATGCGGGAACAATCAATCATGCATTTAAAAGATAAATACAGCAAGATCTCTTAATATCAACAGCATATTTACACATCCCTTCCCATCCCTGCACTATATAAAACAATCCTCATCATTTTGTACAATAAACTTTGCAGTATTAATACATAACCGATGTCTATCAGCTGCTGCAACATCCCTTGTATAGTGTTTAACATTTTTTACCTCCGTTTTTATTTGGTTTATTCAATGTCTTCATTATATCTGGCAAAGAGGAATTTACATTAATTTTAATGTTTATTAGGAATTTTCAAATAAAAAGCCAACGGTGTATATAATAAATAAACGGTGTATATAAATGATAACATTTACAGCTCTATTTGTTAAAGATTTAGTTTCTAGAACATTAATATTTTATTACAGCAAATTAACTCGACAACATCCCGAAACTCAGAATGACAGACACGTCCTTTAAATCAAGTTCAAATAACGTTACAGGAGATCGATGTGGAGATGGGCTAACATTAATTTGTCTTCCTAATTATTATTTCAGACCCATAAAGAGAATTACTGCTAGATATCCATCACCTGTATTTTCCGCGTCATGGTTAGGCATGTATCAGCAAACTAATAAAGCCCGATAAAGCCCTGACCTTACCAAATAATCAGTGTTCCACCATAAAGCCCTGACCTTTAGGTCAGAGAGTATATTTTACTGCTGAACAAGTAATTTTACCATGGTAAAATAACACAGAAATGTATTTTTAACAACACACCATCTCCTCCCGACGCTCAGCTTTGAAAAACTGTCAATCACAACTGTCAATCACAATGACACGCCCAGCATTAAAATACTGTCTAAAAACATACTCTTTACAAAAATGTAGATCTGCACCTATATCGGCATGACAACCAGTGCCTTAATTGACTAGAACCATCTTTCGGGACATTTTATTGCAAGTGTGATTAGTCTTTGCACCTGGAGGAAACCCACGCGAACGCAGGGATAACATGCAAACACCACACAGACACTGACCCAGGCGAGGCTAGAACCAGCAACCTTCTTGCTGTGAGGCGACAGCACTACCTACTGCGCCATTGCGTCACCCTGGGTTTATACAGCAGTTCTGAATATTTTTAAGTTGATAATATTGTGAAACATACTAAAATACAATGTTTTTATATAAAAATTCTATAATAAAAAATATTGAAAAGAGGGACTGAGCCGAAAAGAAAATGAATGAATGAATAAATGTATTTGTAAATAATTTTGTTCCCCTTTTAAAATGTGGAGGCACTGTTTGTTTTATGCATCAACTGTATTTTTGCAGTCATACTTTGTTTAGTTTTTTTTAACAGCGAGGGCCACAATGGAAACAAGCCCAGTTTTATTTCAAAACATATGGGATACTTGTATTTTTGTACAGCTTGTCTTAAATCTGTCAAATAAAAATTCAATTCAATTCAATAAAAAAACAACAATACAAAACTTTGCTGACATCTTTGATCAGTAATATCTAACCTTTTAAAAATAAATGACCAAATATTTTTTTAAAAGAGAACTGAATTGCAGGGCCAGTGGTGTATTGGTTAGTGGGTCAACAACTGCACTCCGGTGATCACAGTGGCCCGAGTTTGATTCCTGCCTCGCGGCCCTATGCCAATCCTTCCTCTCTCTCTGCTCCCCATTCCTGTCAATACTCTATACTGTCGTGTCCGATAAAGGTGAAAACCCAGAGAGAAAAAAAATGAGAACTGAATAAATAAATAGGGAAAAATGCCAAATGAAAAACATAAAAAGTGTAATATTTATAAAGGTTTTGTTATTTTGTGATTTATTCATTATTTGACATTTATTCATGTTTTAGGATGTCTTTATTAATATGGCAGTTAAAGTCCATCATAAGCCATCCCATTGCCAATATTAGTAAGCTAATTTGCATTTATATCATTTACAACATACTACACTTGTCCTTAAATAAACAGTCGATCGTCATTTTTTATTTTCCTCATCGGTCCACAATGACATCTGTGGGAAACACAGCCAAAAGAACACATAATCGTGCACCTCCTATCCAGCTGGGGAGATTCCCTGCCATAATGCTTGTGCATTAGTGCCATGTGAGTCATTGAGAGAAAAAAAGCAGCCTTGACTCAAGATGAACAACAGCTGGATAAAACCCTCTACTCTGAATCTCTCACCATAGCAGCAGAGGTCAATGACATTGTCAAACAATGACAGCATATTTCTTCCTTAACGACGAGAAAGGTTTTGTTTACTTACACTATACATCTCAAAGGAAATAAACGGTTTCTAAGGAAATGAAGAGCATGAGGAAGTTTCTTGCATGCCTGCAATACAATGACACCTCTAAACTATAAAAGCTTGTTCAGCTCATTTAAAAAAGGACTACAACTCTTGAAATATTCTTTTTTAACAAAAGAAGGGTGGGAAATGACCATGTAGTGTTAAGAGACCTCAGAAGAGTACAAGTGTTTTTAATTTTGCTGACTGACTGTAAACAACAATCTGTATTCATTTCAAAAACTGAGCTCTACATTAAAAAACAATTCTGGCGTTATAAAATGAGTGGCATAAAATGAGTGTCTTAAAATGACAACAATATAATTTTTTGCAATATATTTTGGTGCAATATATCATACAACAAAAAATAGATATCGTGACAGGCTAAATCGCCAAAGCTTAAATGTTTATTGTATACGTATTCCTTTGCTAAACAGAATACTCAACCACATTTCTAGGACATGAGTTGAACTAATAAGGATAAGAAGCTTGAAAGGCTTGCTGTCAAACAATTTTAAAAGTGTATTTCACCCAAAAATTTACCTTTCCTGCCCTCACTTTTAGGTCTTCCAGAAATGTAGGTTTTCTTCAGTAGAACTTTGAAGATTTTAGCTGAATCTTTCGTACTTTGTGATTCATAGAAAAGCAGTCAATGGTAACCGTTATTTTAGATAAAAAAACAAACACATACAAACTAGTTCAACAGAGACAGACCCATGTCTTGTGTAAGTGAAACTATCAGATCGGTCTATGTACAAACATTAATTACAGTATTATTATGTTCTATTCACAGCCTAAGCAAACAGTTCTTTGCACATGCATGCAAAAGTTTTTCTGGTGGCTCCATGATATTTGCACGCAAGCACTCAAGCCTGTTTTAGACTTGTGCATCAACTGATTATAGCACCCAGTGGAGCATACAGTTCCAAAAAAAATTCCCATACACAAAAAGTAATTCTAGCAATTCTAGCACTGTAACTGAAAATAGACAACTGAAAATACAGAGAATAGACAACTGAATAACAGATAATAGATCAACAGTTTTTCTGGCCGCTTGATGACGTATGCGCAAATGCACTGAAGCCCACTTTATACTTCTGCGTCAAATGATCGCAGCTGTACCTTGCACGCAGCCGTGGATTTATACTTCTGCATTATTTTTTTGTTGCTCTGGCAAAAATGCTTCCAAAATACTAGCAGGAAGTGGGGTTTCTATGTTCCTCTGTCTCCACAGGTGTTTGAGTTTACATCGACTGCAGAGGTAGCTCAAACTCACACTTACTAAAGGAAGAAGGAGACGGGAACTGACAAATGTGCAAAAACTTTAATCGTAAAGTAACAGAACAAAAGTGTC